CGGATCAAACATAGCTGGTGTAGCTTCCATCTCAATAACTAACAAAGCCGGAAAATCAAGCCTCGCTACCCTAGGGAGAACTAGGATTTCTAGACTCTGGCCCCATGTTGCATGACATGAGTAGACCTGCACAAAACCGACCCGAGCCGCTCGGGCTGCCCAACCCGCCCGCACAAATGGGCGGGCTTGGGCATATATATATTTATCCATCGGGCCGGGCCTAACCCGACCCGCAATAACATATGGGCGGGCTTGGGTTGGGGTGTAAGCCCATTCGGTCCAATATGCCCGACCCGCTACATTTAGTTTATACACACACAGACACACACACATATACTAATTTATTTATTTATTTATTTATTTATTTATTTATTTATTTATTTATTTATTTATTTATTTATTTATTTATTTATTTATTTATTTATTTATTTATTTATTTGTTTATTTATTTATTTATTTATTTACATGCACACATGTATATTTATATTTACTAATTTATCTTTATACATATTCATAATTTATTATGTTTGTTTAAATTTAAGTTTTTAGGTTTTAACAAGTAGCTCAACCAATATAATATCTATTTTTGTACTTCAAGATAGAGAACTATTCTTATCCGGCCTGGCCGGACAGGAGGGTATTCCTCCCACCTCAATATGAGGTGGTTCCCAGTGGTATTTTTTGCACAAATCTTTTGTGTATGTTCCTCATCAAGTCTAGTTCATCCATACCAAATTTGAGCAAAAAAATCAATCGGGAAGGCCGTCAAATGATTTTTGCAAGTTAGCTGCTCCAAAATATACATATAAAACGCAGTTATCTTGCAAAAATCATTTGACAGCCTTCCCGATTGATTTGTTTGCTCAAATTTGGTATGCATGAACTAGACTTGATTAGGAGCATACACAAAAAATTTGAGCAAAAAATACCACCGAGAATCACCTTAAATTGAGGTGGCCGGACCACCCCCTGTCCGGATAGGAATATTCCTGCTTGAAGATAATACTTTGTGCTGAATTTTAGATTTGAGATATAGTTTCTCATTGTTATTTTTATGTATTTGGTGAAAGGTAGACATTATAAGCGAATTATCAATTTTTGAAATGTTATACGTAGTAATATTATTTACAAATTATTAAGAGATTATATAATTTTGCGAAATTTAAATTTTCCCCGGCTCAGACGACCCGGTGGACTACCTAACCCGCTCGTACGGTCGGGTATGGACATGACGTTAGGTCCGTTTTTGCGGGCGGGTCCTGGCCGGCAAATACTACCGTACAGCCGGCTGTACCTAGAGCATGATACAACCGGCAATTTTGTAATTAGTTTCAACTTAAAACCTAATAGTTAAGTTGCTCTTTCGATCTCTGTTTTCTTTCTTTTTTTCCGCCGGCTCCATTCCCTGCTGATCGCTGGGTTTTGTTTTTTTTTCTCTTTTGTTTCGTTCGTACGTAGGTTGCATTACAGGTTAGTTACGTTGTTGTTTTTCTCCTTCTTTCTTTTATTTCTTTTTTATTTAAAATCCTTTTTGCGCATTCAGAAACCATCAACGTTTTTGCTTTAATTTTTTATTCAACTATTATGAAAATATATTATTAAAGATATTATTTAATGTTGGAGTTTGTTGTTGCTTTTTTCAATCAAACTTCTAACTTAAGTTTTTTCAATCTGTGCATTCAAAAATATTTTAGGTATTAATTTTATTTTTATATATTTTAAATTTTAAAATGAATATTTATTAGTTTATTAAATATTGTGTGTTAATTACTAACATGAGTTTTGTATTATACTAAAATGAGTATACTGTAAAATAAATGTGCATGAGTAAATATTATAAAAACAACACGATTATATTTGCAATTCAAGAACAAAAGCCTATAAATATATTTAATATAACACTTTTAGCAATTCCCTTGTGTTTCACCTCTAGTTTCTGAATTTGACATAATTATAACTACATTTTGGTCTAAAAAGCTGGAGACCCTCACCCTTTACATAAAGGCTGAATATGCTGCATGATTTGAGTTTCGTGAGAATGTAGAATTGAAATATCTAGTTATGTACTCAGTTACTCACCGAGCCAGATAATGTGCCTACCCAACCTGATATGAATAGTGAATGAGCTTTGTATATTTGAGGGCATTTTGAGGTAAAATAAATCACTGTTTAGAGTAAAAAGAATACAAATGAAAGCAATCAAACTCTAACTAAGAGCCCCTTTGGCAACCCATATTTCAGCTTATTAGCCTTATCAACCATCTTTTTTTTTACCAAACATGTAGTTTTTGACTTCGTGCATTGAATTGTGTAATAACCAAAATAAGTAAGGTAGGAATTACTTTTGTGGCTAAATTGACTGAAGTTTTTGTAGAGCACCATTTTAGCTGTATTTCATGTAATTTTTTCTTAATTTTATTAGCAAAATATATTTTAAATATACTTTTTTCATAGTGATTCAATCAATTCAGCCACTTCAGCCAAAATTTAACAAATTTCAGCAAATTCAGCCAATTTCGGTATTACCAAATGGCCCCTAAAATTAGAGGTGTCACTTTTCCATTTTTCCCAAGGTACCAAGAGATGAATTTACTCCTACCCACAATCTATACTTTGATAGGAGCAAAACATCAAAATACAGAGGAATTGCATAAGTGCCTTCAGTTTTAATAGTTGCTTAAAGAGCATGATTACATACGGTTCCATTTACAAAATAACTTTTTTGCGATTTGAATCGTGCACATACATGACATTTTGACTTAAACCCATTGACCCCGTCCCCCCTTGGCTTCATCATTAAATGTAATAATGTGTGTTGCTACTATAGTGTTTACATCCCTATGGAGTGCGCCTTTAGTTCTAATTTTGAGTTTACCTTCATGCAATGACAATTTTATTTGTTGCATTCTCACTAATTATGGAAGGTCTCATATAATAAATTTGTGAGATTTCTTTACCATAAATGATGGGTTTTGGTTAAGAACGTCTCTTTTATAAAAAAAAAAGGATGACACCCCATCCCTGAGGGCCCCCCAACACCGACCGGACGGCACGATGGGAGGATGTAAATTGGACTATAATCACAATCTGACAGATAGAGAGTGAGGCTCTGTCCCCGATACTTGCAGAAGCCCTATGCATTTTTCAGCATAGTAACCCCTCATCGCAGTTGCCGGGATTCGAACCCGAGACCTAACCCTTGTGGCACTCCCTCGCTACCAGTTGAGCTACGCCCACCGGTAAAACTAAGGTATGGGTAAACTTTTTATAGTGACTAGCTCCACCGCTTTCACGGCCCCTTACCCCAGAAATCCAACTTTGGCTTGGCCCTACGGGTTAGTATACACCGCTTGGCCCTACCACTTGAAAGGTTTTTTGGGGGAGCATAGTTCCACTGGTGCTAGTGGGACTCGAACACGAGACCTCTCCTATGCAAGGATAACCTCACAACCAGCTAGGCTGAAAGTGATGGTTAAAACATTTGCATGAACGTTGAGGGTTTTAATTTGTTTACTCAATATTTTATAGACTAGCATTTGGTCCCTTGCCACATGATATATACTTTATTTTCTGATGTAGTCTTTTTTGTTAAGAAACTCCACTATTTTCTTCATTAATGCTTTCTGATTCTATTGCAAAGGTTCTTCAACTTTAGATTCAGTGTTCAACTATATTTCGATGCCAGCTAGTCACTACACCCATGTAGATCGTTAAAAAAAAGTTAGGGTTCTTACATAGTCAGACAATCTCCCCTCCAATATTTGAATCAGTTGCTTAATTTTCAATTCCGTGAGTAGTTAGTTGATTGTTCGCAATCTTGAAATTTGATCTTATAAGTTATAATGTTGTTTATCATATTCTTCTTGATTATATTATATACTCATTGAAAGGTTGCTGTGAGCCAGTGACTTGATCAAACAAAATTTGTCAAATTCAATGAAAAAAATCTCATGCATTGGTATCTGTCACTGACGTTAGAAAAATGATCCCCCACTTTTAGACTATTTGTAGTGGTAAGGTATTAGGAGTCTAAAATGTCAAAAATGGAAATTTTAGACTCCTAAATACTTACATTGGAGCCAAGTTGAGAGTCTAAAAATGGAAAATTGGATAGAGGGTCTCAAATATGAAAGGTTAGTTGACAGCCAAATAGAATGGAAAAAAGGGAAAAGCTTATGTAAGAAAAGGGTTCATGGACGGAGGCAAAGGTGGGCTAAGGAAAAGGGAGCATACCGAAGGATAATGGGACCACATAAAATAATATTTTCTTTTTTAAAAGTCTTATAGTTTATATATTTGTGATTCAATTTTTGCAAATCAGGTATCAATTTTTTTAATTTTTTATGATCTTTCATATTACACCAATATCACATATATAAAATTTAAATAATAAAATGATGTTCAAACTGCTAAAGTTTTTTAGGCTGAAAAAATACACGAAACATAAATTTTTAATCCATGATGCCTCCACAAATAGCTAAACAGTAGTTGAACCCAATTTTAAACCCAATTTATATTTTAATAGTAGAAAAAAGTATCAAAGAAATTAAAGATTTTTTATTTTTTAACATCGAAATGTGCATTTTTACACACATAATGAAGAAGACACATCAAGTTGAGAAGGGAATCCAATATGTTATGGATAGACACACAAGTTGAAAAGAGAATCTAATGTTCTAATATGTTTGAACTCACTTCATCGAAAAACGTAAAAACAAAATATTAATGAAATTTATTTTTTTTACATCGAAATGTGTCTTTTTTATTTTATAATTATTCAGAGAAAAAATCAAAAGGAAAATATTATTTATAATAATTTAATTAATGTTTTACTAAATTGGTATGTAAAAAAATGTACAGAGTGTATTTTATTGACGGTGCTGGAATGCAGAGAAATAGGAGTCAAAACACTGTTTTCATATCGATGGAGTCCATTTTTGACATTTAGACTCTTGCACCCCTCCAAATGGTCTTAGGAGGACAAAAACGTTGCCCATCTGACACATGTTAGTGAAATGGAAAAAAAGATTGAAACTTTGGCCAGAATCACCACTATATTGAAAGATGTTATTCAGAACAAGGTAATGTTCTCAATTACTACTCTGGCCATTGATACTCCATTTTCAAGCATTTGATGTTTGAGTTTTATGGCTGTTACTGTTATGCACGAGTATTCACTCGTGATAAGTGTTGGAAAATTAATTCTATTTCAAATAAATAAATTATTTTGTAACGGAATGTTTATTTGGCCGATCATGTGGGTCTTGGGTTTGGTAACGTGCGTTTAAGGCTGACCAACTTTACTTGGCTTAGCATTTTCATCTCCACTTTTTTAGGATCCAAATATCCATCCGTTACTTAATTCCTTTATTATATTAATAATATAAAAAGAGACCTCTTGGTGAGGTGATAAACACACTTCGGCTTCTAACTATCCTCTGAAAACTACCTTTACAAAGTCCTTCATTAAAATGCTTTCTCACAAAAGCTTCTGCTGGATTATCATGATAATTTCCCTCGTAGTTTTGGTTCCGACTATATGTCGAAGGGCTCGTTTAATCCTGGGGGAAGATTTCCATTCACCGGAAATACTTTCAGAGGACAGCGTTTACGCGTCTCGAGCCGTTGATTCTTTCATTAGCTTTCTTTGCAGGTGTATCATTGTGTTGACGGTGCTAGACCTGTGGACCTGCGGCAGAACTCCTTCAAATATATATGAAGATAGAATAAGTTGCTGCCATGCAAGTAATAAAGAGGATGATACAGAGGAATTTCCATGCCGCCGCAAACTGCCGGAGGGGAAGATAGAAACTGCTCGCCGGAGTGCTGCACGTTCACCGGACAGAACTGGACGGCCAGGAGCTAAGGATGAAGTCAATTTAACAACAATCTCTGAAAGTATTATTGGACGAAGCACGCTCCTACGGTTCCAGTTTAATGGGTTGCTGAGAAATCTGGTATCTCCTTTAATTATTGTAGTTACCTTATTCGCATACTACTGTGTTGGGAGTTTACCCGACTTTGCCGGAATATATGTTCTGCATATTACAAGTTTTAAATTGTTAGTTGTCACCCTATTCACAATAAGCCTTGGTTTAATCCCACTTATTATAATTTATGTCATTGTATGTGATAGAAAGACAACTATGAGAAACAATAATCCACTTAAATCAAAAATAAAATTAATTAAAAGTGATGAAAATTTTATTGCGCTTGTTTCTCAAAGTTGTAAAATAAATGATGTGAATGAATGGTTGGTAGACTCCGGGGCTACCAAGCACATTTGTAAAAACAAAAGTGTTTTTACCTCCTATAGTACTACTATGGGAGATGATGAAGAGCTCGTGTACCTAGCGGACTCAAAAACCGCAAAGGTGCATGGTAAAGGGAAAGTTCTTCTTAAACTCACATCGGGGAAAACTTTATCACTAAATGACGTACTTTATGTGCCTGAGTTTCGGACTAATTTAGTTTCTGTTTCTCTCTTGGTAAAAGCTGGGATTAAAGTATCTTTTGATTGTAACAAAATTGTTATGACCAAAAATGATGTTTTTGTGGGCAAAGGCTATTGTAAGAATGGACGTTATGTGCTTAGTATTCCGAAATTAATGCGTGAAAATGCTTCTTATTTGATTGATTCATATGATGTGTGGCATGCAAGATTAGGACATGTGAGTGATTCTTATATCAATTTGTTGCGTGATCGTGGTTTGATTTCTAGTGGAAAGAAATTGACACTAGAAAAATGTGATATTTGTGTTGAATCAAAACAAACCAAAAAATCATGTCCTACCACACATAGGGAATCAGAATTGCTTGAGTTAATCCACACGGATTTAGGTGATTTAAAATATACCATGACTAGAGGTGGTAATAAATTTTATGTCACTTTTATTGATGATTTTTCGAGATACACTAAAGTTTATTTGCTTAAAAGTAAAGATGAGGCTTTTGATAAATTTTTAGTGTATAAATCCGAGGTGGAAAATCAATTGAATAAGAAGATTAAGAGAGTGAGATCGGATAGAGGGGGCGAATATATTTTAATAAATGATTTTTGTGAGAGGGAAGGGATTATCCATGAGATAACTCCCCCGTATTCGCCCGAATCCAATGGAATAGCTGAAAGAAAAAATAGGACATTAAAAGAAATGATGAATGCTCTTTTAATTAGTTCTGGTGCTCCTGATAATCTGTGGGGGGAGGCTATTCTTTCTGCTTGTCACTTACAAAACAGAATTCCTTATAAGCACAATAAGAGAACACCCTATGAATTGTGGAAAGGTTATGTGCCTAATTTGAAATATTTGAAAGTGTGGGGGTGTTTGGCTAAAGTCTTATTGTCTGATCCTAAGAAGAGGAAAATTGGTTCTAAGACATCTGATTGCATATTTATTGGTTATGCTGAATGTAGTGCTGCTTATAGATTTCTTGTTTTGAAAAGTGATGTGCTTAGTTGCAATACTATTATTGAAACAAAAAATGCTGAATTTTTTGAGAGTGTGTTTCCTTTAAAGCCAGAATACAAGACCGTTGTGCCATATCGTGAAAGTGAGCCATTAAAAGAAAATAATACTTTTAATGATGAACCCTCTAATTTGAGAAGAAGTAAGAGGCCAAGGATAGAAAAATCTTTTGGAAATGATTTTTATACATATCTTGTTAATGATGAACCTTTTACTTATTCACAAGCTATTTCATCAAAAGAGGCTCCTTTTTGGCTTGAGGCAATTCAAAATGAAATTGAATCTATTCAGAAAAATAAAACTTGGATTTTAACTGATTTGCCTAAAGGGTGCAAACCAATCGGATGTAAATGGATTTTTAAAAAGAAATTTAATCCGGATGGTTCAATTGACAAATATAAAGCGAGGCTTGTGGCAAAAGGTTTTTCTCAAAAACAAGATGTTGATTATTTTGATACTTTTGCACCGGTAACGAGAATATCTTCCATTAGAACTTTAATTGCCTTGGCTTCTATTCACAAACTTCTTATCCATCAAATGGATGTTAAAACGGCATTTTTAAATGGTGAATTAGAGGAAGAAATTTATATGGTGCAACCGGAGGGTCATGTAGTTTCTTGACAGGAACACAAAGTGTGTAAGTTGGTCAAATCTTTATATGGTTTGAAACAAGCTCCTAAACAATGGAATGAAAAATTTGATGAAGTATTATTTGCTCATGGTTTTACCTCACTTGAAGTAGATAAATGTGTATACACTAAAATAAAAAATGGTGTGTGCATTATTATTTGCTTGTATGTGGATGACATGCTAATATTTAGTAGCAACCTTGAGTTAATAAATGAGACAAAATCATTTCTTGCTTCAAAATTTGATATGAAAGATTTGGGTGAAGCAAAATTGATTTTAGGTATTAAAGTCATAAGGAAGGATGATGGTATTATACTATCTCAAGAGCACTATGCTGAAAAACTTCTAAAGAAGTTTGGACATTTCGATGTCAAACCTGTGAATACCCCTTATGACTCTAATACACATTTGAAAAAGCATAGAGGTGATCCTGAGGCTCAATATGAATATGCACAAATAATTGGGAGTTTGTTACATTTAATGAACTATACGAGACCCGACATAGCTTATGCTGTCGGAAGATTGAGCCGATATACCCATAATCCAAATGGGGATCATTGGACCGCGTTGAGGCGGTTACTGAGATATTTGAGAGGTACCATGAATTATGGTATATTTTATAGAGGTTTACCCGCTGTACTAGAGGGATACAGCGATGCCAACTGGGTCTCTGACTCAGATGAGATTAAATCCAATACTGGATATATATTCACCCTTGGAGGTGGTGCTATTATGTGGAAATCAACCAAACAATCTCTAATTTCTAGATCCACTATGGAGTCCGAGCTTATAGCTTTGGAAGTGACTAGTAGTGAGGCGGAGTGGTTGAAAAATTTCTTAGCAGAAATTCCGGTTGGTACAAAACCAACACCATCGGTGTCTATTCTTTGTGATTGCCAAAGTGCAATAAATACTGCTAAGAAAATGTGTTATAATGGGAAGAATAGACATATTCGTTTAAGGCATAAAGTCATTAAACGATTATTGAAGAATGGAATTATTTCCATTAATTTTGTGAGGTCAGAAGGAAATCTAGCAGATCCTTTGACTAAAGCCCTAGGACGAAAAATGATAAGTGAAACCTCGAGGGAAATGGGTCTTGTGTCACTTGATTACAAATAGGGATGGTAACCCAACTTGTGTGATTGGAGATCCCATGAAGCAAGTTCATATGGGTAATAACAAGTCTTCTATTTGTTCTGCTAGCCTTATTACAAGTCTCTTTATATGGTGTGGAAGGCTAGACTGCATTCGCTGTGAGGCTGAGCTAAAAATCTTAATGATTTTCATAGCCCTTACGGGTGGTGTGTTAAGTGCAGAACACACTTGATGAGATCACCTATATGAGTGTGAGGTGGGGCCGCCTCTATGAAGCCTTGACAACGCTTCTAGAGCACTCACGAACACCAGGCACGCGCACGGCCGAAATGCGCACCACGGCGTTAACGCGAGGAGTTGTGCGGGGTGAGACATGGCCATTAAGACCCTGATTTACCATAGTAGCTTCTTGGTTCATAGAAACTATACGTTTCACCAAAAGCTCGGTTTATAAAGACTTAATCGTCTCGGTTTGGTTCATAGTCTTCGGACACCAGACTTAAAGTCTCATTCCTTTAATCCAGCAAACTTTAAAAATGTTTTTTCTCAAAATATTTATTTGAAATATGTGGGGGATTGTTGGAAAATTAATTCTATTTCAAATAAATAAATTATTTTGTAACGGAATGTTTATTTGGCCGATCATGTGGGTCTTGGGTTTGGTAACGTGCGTTTAAGGCTGACCAACTTTACTTGACTTAGCATTTTCATCTCCACTTTTTTAGGATCCAAATATCCATCCGTTACTTAATTCCTTTATTATATTAATAATATAAAAAGAGACCTCTTGGTGAGGTGATAAACACACTTCGGCTTCTAACTATCCTCTGAAAACTACCTTTACAAAGTCCTTCATTAAAATGCTTTCTCACAAAAGCTTCTGCTGGATTATCATGATAATTTCCCTCGTAGTTTTGGTTCCGACTATATGTCGAAGGGCTCGTTTAATCCTGGGGGAAGATTTCCATTCACCGGAAATACTTTCAGAGGACAGCGTTTACGCGTCTCGAGCCGTTGATTCTTTCATTAGCTTTCTTTGCAGGTGTATCATTGTGTTGACGGTGCTAGACCTGTGGACCTGCGGCAGAACTCCTTCAAATATATATGAAGATAGAATAAGTTGCTGCCATGCAAGTAATAAAGAGGATGATACGGAGGAATTTCCATGCCGCCGCAAACTGCCGGAGGGGAAGATAGAAACTGCTCGCCGGAGTGCTGCACGTTCACCGGACAGAACTGGACGGCCAGGAGCTAAGGATGAAGTCAATTTAACAACAATTAAGATGGAAGACTATTAATGATTTGAATTGTAATTGACAATCTTTTTTAATGAGTCAAAATTCGTGTATTGCAAAAGGTTGTGAAAAAAAATATCCTGCTAACATATATTTTGTTTTATTTGTCTTATTTGTTCTATTAATATCCTGCTAAATATCCTGTATTAAATTATTACTTCTTATATCATTTTAAGAAGCTATGATCGATATATTAGTATGAAGTTTAACTAGCATGCTAGGAAAACACTAAATGGCAATCAAGCTTCCTTAAAAGTTTCTCCAGCATTTTCACGGCTAAAGATAGAGTGTTTAATTTATTTTTCAATTAAACTTACTGAACAATGGGTCCTAGATTTGTAAGCCCATATTGGATTAGCCAGATTTTGCCGCAGTTAGAGTGGTTTTGGGGGGATTTGGTAGGATATTGCTCCAGTTTAACTAGCATGCACAGGGAACACTAAATGGCAATCAAACTTCCTTAAAAGTTTCTCCAGCATTTCCACGTCTAAAGATAAAGTGTTTAATTTATTTTTCAATTAAACTTACTGAAGTACTGAACAGTGCGTCCTAGATTTGTAAGCCCATATTGGATTAGCCAGATTTTGCCGCTGTTAGAGTGGTTTTGTTCTACTCTGTTGATGACCTTTGAGAGCGAATTCTTTATATGAAGGATTATAGTCAAAGTGTGAAGTCATATCTGATTCTGCAAGTGTGTTGATCTTTTTTTCATCCACTGCCTGATTCTGCAAGTGTATTGATTTTTTTTTCATGGGGTGCTATATCCTCTGCTCATATAATATTTTATGGAGTAGGACCGCATTATTGCTCGGCTTCAACAACCATATTCATTAGATTGCATTCCAGTGGAAGCAGAATATCAGGTACGTTTTTGGTAAATTGAATTATAAGCTTATTATCTCTCAATCTTGCATTGATATTTCACATTTTCACTTCAATAGTACTCACACAAAGAATCTGGAAAAAATATCACTCTTTAGTAAAGTAACTCCATAACTTATACTCCATACTTCTTATAAGAATCATCCTTTATTAATACTAGTAGTAATAGTACTGGAAATAACAACAACAACAGTAATAATAACAACTGTAACTTTTGACATGTATCTTTTGCTCATCCTGTTCTGTATCTGTATCATGAATCTCTTGTTTTTAATCCAACCAAATTTCTTTGTGTGGAAGGACTGATAAATTTTGTTTATATTTTTTTTTGTCTGGTATGGGAAATCAGGGTTTTAGTATTTCAATTTATATTAATATTCATATGGTTTACAGTTTACACTAACCATTACTTGGGCCTTGGGCCCCCACAATCAGGAACACCTACCCCAATACTTCTTAATCAGTTACTCTCCTATTCTCCCAACATAAAAATGAACATACAAACACACATAAATAGAGTATAAAAACACCAATGAATTACATTGTTTCATGATGCTGTTTTAATACCTGACACCTGTTTCATAAAACATAGTTTAAAAACTCCAAGGAAATACATTGTTTCATGATGCTGTTTTGACACGTGTGAGAATCTGTGCAGAAACAATTTTCTGAGTTACTGATGAGGGCTGCTAGCGACTATAGTGCATTAACAGCATCTGCGGCCGACTTTCATTGGAGCCAAAATTTTAGAGACCCACCAACAATATGGGCAGTATGTGAAATTATTATTATGATTTTGCTTCCACAACTATAGTAGCTGGAGTGTTATATCAGAATTTTATGGAGCCATGTATGACTCTACGATGGAGACACATCAATATGGGTTTATGTGGCCTGAGCATAAGTCCATATGTCTCTATAGTGGAGTCTTATGGGGCTTCATAAAAATGTCAGTATTTATGTATGGATTATTACACTATCCCCCCACATAAAAAAGACTGACGATTCTATAGTGCCTTTTTTGTTTTTACTTGGGTTTAGGTTGTGGGGGTCGGTGGTCTGGGGGGGGGGGGGGGGGGTTGAACTTATCATATCTGATATCTGGGGACACCTTTAAGGGTCCAAACCGTTTATGTTGTGATTGTACAGTTGCATGATTCATGAGTGGATATTTATTATTGTTATTTGTTTTATTCAAATAAATGTAGGAAATGCTTCGCCCTATCCCCGTCGCCCTGGCTTCATGCACCAGGTTCTTTGAAGCCATGTCTGCAATGAGGGAGTCATTTGCCACACTTCAAGCGTTAAGGGTTGGTCCTTCATCGTCCCTTGCCACACCTAGCAAGGATCTTTCCCAGAGAGGAGGATCAAGGAAGAATTCTGATTGTGTGACTCCTCCACCCCGGAGAACCGAAACAAGTTTTAACGATTTGACCATTAGAAGTGTGAGACATGAAAAAAGTGAGGAGCAAGAAGTTACAAGTGGTGATGAATATGGTGGCGGTGTTGAGAGCCATCAACTATCATGGCCTTCTCCGGTGTAAAGAGTCGATATATATCGCTATGTTACGGCACACATGCCCAAATTTTATATGGGACCAGTTGTGTATCTAATCAAAACCTATTATTCTAATCATTTCTTGATGTTTGATTGGCACTGTTGGAGTATAATTAAACTTTGACCAATTGTTTCAATCTTGTCTTGGGGCAAGCAAGCTATGTGAGTGTTACTTAGATAATAGTGTTCAAATTAGCTCAATGTATTATGCACCTTTTTAAATTAGGCCCAAGCCTGGTTTGAAGGATTCCAGGTTTTGTTTGTGCAAGTTTAGTGTTCTTTTTGGTACAAGTGCATATATTTTTTCCCAATAACTTTTGTTAAAGTTGTTTCACCATTTTGGATAAACTTCCCCATCCATAAGATGTCCCGCAGTTTAATTAGGAGTAGTATTTTGAAGTTAAAATTTAGTCGCATCTTCTTGGGTGTGGCCGAGTAGAGTCTACAAAAGTAAGAATTGGTCCATGAGAATATATGCACTTAGGACTTAGGATAACTGCAATCACTCCGTCAACATATCTTCATTAAAATTTCATTTTTATTATTAATCATTAATTTTTTGTGAATAATTATGATTTAAAAAGTCAAATAATCCAATGCACAAATAAATAAATTTAGAGTTTATTTTTTTTAAGGTTACTTCAAACCTAGTTTTGAAAAAAACAATTAAAAGATAGAAAAAGTATTTTAGCAATGAGATCTTAATTTTAGCATTTGGATCTACTTGTGAACAATTTTGATCTTAAACACCTCCAAAGGATGTTTTTTATTAAAACTTTATATATGCAATACTGGTATATGAAAGATCATAAAAACTAATAATTTTGATATATATATATATATATAGATTTAGGATCAGGTGAGAACTTAATCTTAGGAGAGTAAAAAAGAATAGATATCAACCATTGGATTAACCATGTTTTTTAAACTACCGTGCACATGTCTAAAAGGCCTTTTGGTCATTTCATCAATGCATTAATTAGCCTTAAAACTAAGCTCCAGAATTGGTGGCACTACTTTATCCATTTGGTAATTGGTAGTACCGTAGTACATTAATTATTTCCTTTTCAATTTTCATATATTTATTAATTATTTCTTTCTCTTATTTTGTGTTTTGTGTACTTCAATTTTTTGATTTTTTGATGTGTCATTATATTATTTTTAATTTTCTTCAACGTTATGGAACTACTATCTTTTTGCCTAATAGAATGCTCTTTAGTAAGTACCCAGTAGTAATTTTTTAAAATATATTATTTTACTTTGTGGCAATATATATTTTTGAAATATTTATGTGCTTCAACTCTTTAATTATATTAAAAAGTATATATAAAAGTGCACTAAACTAAACAGTTAAAGTGCATGGTATTGAGTTTTTTATTATGCACTTTTAAAGTGTACAATGTGCACGGTGTATCATTTTTAGTACGGTGCAACTTAAAAGTTCAAAAATGTAACATTCAAAATAAAGTGCACACCATTTAAATAAAATTTTGTCCGCTTAATATATAAAATATTATAGGAACTATAAAAGTTCATTTAAAATTATTTCACTCGTAAGTGCATAAGATAACTAAAAATGCAACTACTTAATAAATAATTATATCATCTATAATGCACTTATACATACACATGTTGCACATATCCACTCAATAAATAAAATATCACGGGGACTATAAAGTTCATATTTAAATATTTTGCTCCTAAGTGCATAATAGATTAACTAAAAAGTGCAACTACGTGATAAATAAGTACATGCTCATCTAAATTGCACTTATAATGTTCATTTTTAAATATGTTACCCGTAAGTGCATAATAGATTAACTAAGAAGTGTAACTACGTAATAAAGAAGTACATGTTCATCTAAATTGCACTTGTGCGTGCATATAGTGCACATAATTTAGAATATTTAAAATGAGTTGATATGCATAAAGTCTCAAATAAAGTGCATCTATTCAATGTTGGAATGCAAAGCATAAATTAATGTTGATTCCATTAATGAATATTACATTTGAAAATTGATAAATAAATTATAAAAGAGTTTCTATTCAAAATAATTATCTAAAATGATACTACGTATGTTATCCTAAATTTGAAAATAAATTCAAATAGGAGAAAGTATATATTATAATAAATAATCTTAGCTATGAGAGAGGTTACTTTTTACGAATTATTAGGAAGACTTCCTATTATGGCGCATCATGCGTGACATCCTCCATGAACAATTTTACCATGATGCCCACAATAAATATTAGGTTCAATTGAATCCGTTTTAGACGGTGATTCCACCGTAAATCATGGATATCTCTAGCCTAATTTTCGAAGCTTTTTGGCCACAGGATTGAGATTACCAAAGGTTGGATTTTGTTCTTTTTTCCTCTCCTAAGAGGGTGTTCTCACAGGAACTAACCCCTATATATATATATATATATATATATATATATATATATATATATATATATATTGTAGAAAATGGAGTACAAATAAAAAATTTACAACACTTCAAAGAAAATAGATTTTTTTCTTAGATCCATGTGCCAAGTGCCAACTCTATTTCCCCTCGCCACATCCGTTTTCTTTCTTTTCCGAACTTTCACATTTGATTTGGAATTTGAGATGGGGTGCCAATTCAACCCCTGGTGAAAAGTTTAAACATGGTTTTTCCACCTCTCAGGTTTAGACACAACCATTAATTGAGATAATGGTCTAAGCTATACCTGTAGCCTGTAGTAGTTCATTTTGTCAAACATAACCTATATCACGTCTAGACGAACATTACTTCTTAACTGCCTTCGATCATGAACTGGAACTATGTTTTCATGTCCCGGTCCGATCCCAAAAATTAACCAGAACTTTATTCATGCCTACCTTTTGACGTTCCATTTAAAAATTTTCATTTTTATTTTGAAAGAAAATTAACATTCCTAAATGATTATTAATCATCATATATTAAAAATAGACCTTTAACCGGTATTAGGCAACTTAAAAAAAACAGGTAATAGGTTTAGACCCAAACCGACTTTAAAAAAACAGGTAATTGGTTAAACCCAAACCTGTCAATGTTAAAAACAGGCCCGACCCGTTTACGCCTGTTCGCACTCTAGCTCTTGATGATATCCGAAAAGCCGTAACATACGACCTTAACTTAGGGTTTATCTCGATCTGCTTCACCTCAATTCGTCATCCCCGGCATGTCTTCAACGGCGTTCAGCTCTGATTCAGAGATGGTTCCAGGCCTGAATTATGAACCTGCTGTTTACTGTAAATGTGGGTTAAAATCTCCGTTATATAAATCAAGTGAGAAAGGCGGGCACTTCTACGGATGCCAGCGTTGGAAAGTAAGTAAATCTCAACCGATTATAGGTTTTTTATTCGTTGGGGGCAATTGTATTGTCCGAATTTCAGATATTACTAGCGGAAGTAGTTATTTTTCTGAAACTAATCGATTTGAGGACAATTTACTGATTATGTTTTGATGTTTTATTTTTATAAACTGATGTAGGAAGGAGGATGTGGTTTTTTTACTTGGAACAAAGTAGGTGAAAATAATGAGGATTCTGAATCAGACTTCCAAGAAGTCAAAGAATTGCTTCTTCAGTTGAGAGAAGAAATAAGATCCCTTGGTCGCGAAATAGCTGAAAGTGCAGAAAAGAGAAAGTATAACACACTAGCTACCATTGCAGTCATGATAGTTGTGGTAGCAACAACTATCATGAAATTTGTGCTAGATGGAAGTAAATGATAGCCATGGTAGGTATAGTTTGTGAGGAAATGGTATGTTAATTGTAGTTGGTCGTCTAGAATTTGCAGCAATGTGTAAGACAATATGTCTATTATGTTATCATCTTAAATTTGAATGCGTGAATTTGATGGTGTTCAAAGCCTCGTTTATATACGTTTGTAGTTTTATTTGTGAAATTTTATTTATGTGTCCTGGAAGTCGTATTTGTATAAGCTTGAAGCTTAGATCATGAAAGGTAATAGTTTTTGGAAAATGAAAAGAAGGTGATGCATCTAATTTCTCAGTCATTCTCATGGTTTCCAGAAACAAGGTACAGCTCATTATAAATGAAGAAGATACAATTGAAACAATTGACAGGAACTCCCATCTCTTTTGGGTCTTTCTGTTCAGCTAACTGTACACAATGTACAAAACTTTTATCTCAGCTCCATTTGATACATCATCCTTCTGCAGCCTCCTCCTTATTTACATAGATGCTGAACAAACTAAAAGAGATGAGAATGACTGAGAAATTATATCCTGGCTCGGTTGTAGTGCATCCCCACCATAAGTGCAACTATAAGCCTCAATTGCCTGCTCAGCTGCAAGCATGCAACCATTCCTTCTGTTCAATCTCAGGTGCTGCAACCCTCAATTTCCTGCTGCAGTGCTGCTACGAATAATCCTGGGGGTGGCAACAATGAACTTGGTTTCTTTAAATCCTTTACAAAGCAGCTGTAAGAAAAGCTGTGGTATACAACTCCCAGAATAATTGCAGTGTTTAGTGCCATTCTCATCAAACACATATGACAATAATAAACACACATTAACATTAGAAGAAAATATCCATATTCAGATTTAGCAAGTACAACTTTTACATCCAGAAAATTCATTTAGTAGAACTAGATACTTAAAGCTTAGACCTCAAAATACACTTAGTTTAAACATAAAGTTGTAGACATGTAGGGACGGTTTCTGATGGCAAACATAAGCGTAAGCTTCAACTGCAAAGCAGACTATGTTTAAACATAAACATAAGGCTTAAACTGCAAAAAAAAAGTCTAAAACATAAGCATAAAGCTTTAACTGTACAATACACTAAGCCTAAAACATGTCATGGTCCACTTTCTACTGCATGTTGACTTGTTGGTGCTTCAAGTTGGCTTCTTGTTCTCTTTATTGGTTTTGCCTCTTGGTCTTCTCTTTGAATCAGTGGCTGATGGTTCTGCGGACACCATTTCTGTAGCTAGGGCTTTTTTCAGGCACTTTGACTTATTATGTACTACAACCTTACATACATAATACGTCATGAGTCTGCCTTTTTCTTGAGAGTGTTGTCCTTCCCTTTTTAGATGTTGGCCCTTCATTAGCTTGACATATTCTCCTTTTTCTTGGGTCTTCCAGACATTTTCTTTGGGATTGGAGGCGCAATATCATTGATTCGTTATGTGTCCTACTCCACAACATCTCCCATCCATTCGGTGAAGATGATGTGAATATTCTCTCATACACCTCCTTTGAATAACAAGAATACACATAATGCTCAGGATCCTCACCTTTGTCAAAAATTGCAAGGTTTTTGTTAAATGCCTCTAAGAGGTCGTTGTCCCCGATATCACATTTCACTTTGGTTTTGAAGTAAGCCTTGCACTAGTGATGAGTGTCATAAAGCTCCAAACCAGCCTTTGCTATGGGCATCAAATTTCTCGGTTCGGCTTTGAGAAACATTCTGAAAAACAAAACAATGGAATATATGTAGTTACTTTTTATCAAGAAATGTAGCACCAATTTGATGTCCCAATCTCGTGTTATATACTACTATTCAGTAGCACAAAGAATTTAAATATTTTCAAAAAAAAAAAAACTCTGGAATTTAAAGGTGTTCAACTTGCCCTAACTTATCAAATGTAATTTCCAAACTTCGAACATGATAAAGACTATAACAATGATCTTTCTTTCACCCAAATTACAATGCTCGATTTCAAATTCAAGATAGTACAGTACCTTGCTCTATGATATTAGTACTAGCATATCAAATCAAAAAATCGCAAGCCAGGCAATGAAATGAATAAATCACCCTGAATTTTCACCCCCCATGCTGCAATCATCTTTCATTGAAACCCTAGGCGAATCGTAAGGACAGAAACCTTTCAATGGCATGCCTAGATTTGGTACAATTCAAGAGTGACTGTGACTAGAACTTGGAGGCTAATGTGGAAAAATAACAAAGTTTGGCAAAAAAAGACACAGAAGCAGTAAGTCATTGGGACTCACCCGATTGACGATTGCTTTTTACAAGTAGCCGCATATACATGACACTTATTCAATATATGGTCTTATATGGCGAATTCATAATAGTAAAAGGCTTTATTTGACCATTTTCCATTTATTATATATCCACTTAAAGTACTTCTAAAAATATACTTAAAGTACCTTATTTAACTATTATCCAAAACCTGCGCCATTTTTTAATATAAACTTTAATTAAGCCGGAACATACCAGACCAATGTTGTTACTTGTTAGCAAAGGTACATCCTAAAAGTCCAAGTCCAAGTTATCAAGATAGTTAAGGAATGAAGTCTGAAATGGTTAGTACGGAGTACTAGATAGCATAAGATTATTTGAAAGGTAATTTTTGGTGTAGATACACAAGCAAAATAAAGAAGTGCGCACAAAAAGTGTAGTTAGTGTACACCTGAAATTTTCCTTGTTCAAACTTCGTCCATGCTAAATAAATATTTTAATTTTGGCTTTTAGACCTCACCAACAACGTACATTGATGTGCCATCATCATTATTCATTGAAGTAAAGTACATTCAATTAAGTATAAGTTAAATCAGGAAAATATAGACCCATAACAAATGGATGTGCGAGTCCTGTACTCATATGGGAGTATGGGACTTAGGGAGCCATAGCTCCATGACATGGAAGCAACCCCAGTTTGTTTTCTTAGAGTTATCCAATTCCAATCTGTGACACTAGCAGTAGGCATCAGTAGGAAAACATTCAAAGCAAATATGACACTCTTTACATTAAAATAATGTATGAGCCAGTAAACATTGAGAATTTGAGCGGGAACACACACCTACAATAATGGGAAATAGGTTAAAATAAAATGAGGGAAAATGTTTGACATGAAGATTTATCTCAAAAGTTATACGTATCATGACTTTGAATTAAGCTCATAGAAAGACACGAGAGACAGCTGTTGTTCAATAGAGCAATCAACATGACATGAAGTCCGACAAGAGAAGGGTATGAGAATGAGACCCAAACATCGGTGTTCCATTGGGGAAGGAGAAGAGTGTGGGGTGCTTCGATATTCAACGGCATCTTGAAGAATGATGTTTCCTTGCTTAGAATGATGTTCCATTGTTGAAAATAAATGCGCAGTTAGAAGCACAATTATCTTCAAGAATTCATTTGAATGCCTTCCCGATTTAAGTTTTAGCTGAAATTTGGTATGAGTAAACTAGACTTGATGAATAAGATGCTCAAAAAAATTCATCCAAAAATTCATCCGGGAACCACCCCAAATGACGACGGCCGGACAGAGTCTCCTAAATAAGGGCTTATTTGACCTTTTTTGGTTAGTACATGGGCCTATTTGCACCTTTTCCCTTTTTATTAAATAATAATGGAGTGTCCCCAATAAGAAAAATCGGATGCTCCCAATAACAAAGAGAGATTTGCCCTCATGTCAAGAACAATACGTACAAATATTGGGTGATGCGAATGATTTTTTTTTATTATGTATTATTTTAAAGTTTTTAGTTTTTCATTTTTTATGTGTTTTTTTATTTACGTGTTTATTATACACACATATTTTTATTGTTTTTGTGGTTTTAATATAAATTTAAAGCATGAAGAGAGTATATAAACTACTCATACTTTGAAAATATTAAAAGAAATAATTCCAAATATATTATCAAAATATGAAAAGTAGACAAAAATGTGACTCAATAACTTTGAGTGACTATAGTTATATTTGAGTATAATACATCTTAGTGACTATAAAGTACCCTTAGTTATATTCACTATAAATATACTTTTAGTCACTAAAAGTTACGGAGTATTAAATACCATTTTTGTCTATGAGTGTTATTCAGTTCAGTTATATTTTAGGAAAAAACTTCATACTCCGCATAAAACTAGTCCTATTTTTACATTTTAAAATTACTAAACTCTTATTTGAGCTATATTCCATTGGCTCTAGACACATTTCTTTCTATTTTTCTCAAATAACTTGGTACTTCATGTGCCCCGTTCAAAGATTCTAAATGCAAAATGACACTAATATTGGATAATAATTAAATATGACAATCCGAGTATATTTTAAGAAATAATTTTTATGGTTATATAATATAATGAGACCATTGATGATAAATGTGGTGTTACAGATGTATTAGTTTCAATATCTGATGATTAAATTATCTTTTAAGAAAATTAATTGTTTCTTAAAATATAAATGATAACCTTTAAGGATGTTTTTACTTGGACTGTAATTTGCTTGTTTGGTTTGGTCTGGTCTGAACTGGTCTGGTCTGGGTTCTTTGTATTTTTATAACTATTCAAGTCTGGTCTGGTCTGGTCTGATCTGGCCTGGTCTTGCCTGGGACAAATTACCGTCCAAGTAAAAACATCCTAAGTGAGACGTCCCAAAAACAAAATTGGGAACCTTAGAATGGGAAGAATGGAGTATTAGATAGGGGTGGGCATAACGGTTTGGTTTAACCGAACCAAACAAAAACTAAACCGAACTAAAACCGGACCGTATGTAATGCTTCAACAATTGAAATTTACTTCTAATGGGTTTGTTATTAGTTTTTATGGAACATGAGAGCAAGGTCGTAACTCAATATCTAATTATTAGCAGTAATTTTATCCTTGATTGAAACCTTCCCATTACTGCTGTTATAATAGTTACACTAGACCAGTTGTAGTCATTTGCTCAGATAATATGATACCATTAAGACGAATCACAAATATATCAACAATAAATAAAAAACCACTTGTCGTTGTCATATAGCAATTTACAAGTCAGCTTGAAACGTGAACTTCTCATATAAAATTAAACATGTGCACCACCTAGCCTCATCCACTCTATGAGCCGGTTCTTGATACTTGAAACAAAAGAACTCACAGATTATTATGTATTCCTAGCCTTGACTTAATTCAGACTACCAAGAAATTAGAAAACAAAAACAAATACGTATAGCTTATGAATCATTGATGTTTACTGATTTTAATGCTAACATGAGTGTGAGCCTATATTTCAT